GTGAAAGTGTTGGGTGAAGAGATTCGAAGGTCGGTACCACCAGAAGACGACGGCGGATTCCTCTTGACCAACTGTCAATTGGCTTTACTGGAATATTCATGCTGATACTGTTTCCGAGGTAATCTCATTCGATTCCGGTGAAAAGCTGCTAGGCTTTCGTCCGTCATATTCGCATATTCTTCGCATATAAAAGCTTAGCAAACACACGGTAAAAACTTTTATTTGAAATGGAGGTGAGCTCAACAATTATGAACCAATTGATTACTCGAAACCCAAAATTTCTTAGCATATGGAAGCTTAGCTCATTTTATCGCCTTTGAAGGAGATTTCTCTAAAATTTCTGTCAAAGAAGTACTCCGTCATCTTCTGGTGAGATCGATCTTCGACTCATTTAATCGTACACTTTTACTCTAAATGGGATTGGACCCAACGATAAATGACAGAAGTAAATCGACTTCGATTTTGCAACTTGTTCGTGTTTTCAGGATGACCTAGACTTTATCCGAGGTCGTCTGCCTCAGCACATTGGTGGCATGATAATTTCAGGCATCAATGCGTGGACTTGGTATGCCAGAAGCCAGCATGACTACTGGGGAAGATGACCTCGGACAAGACATGTTCATCTAGTTTCACGTGGAAACACGAATAGGTTGTGAAATCAAACTCAAACCACTCCTATTCAGCAAAATGAGGGTATGATTAACATACGGTCGACGCCATTTTGCTCTGCCTATTTTCAAAGAAAGAATTATGAAAAACTTTTTCACATAATATAATGTTGCTTTCGTTAATATTGACCATACACCTTTGGCATTTCCAGCTGCTGGAGCCTGATGCTCCAGAATCCAGGTCTTCTTCACTCCTCTCTGCGAGCAGCTTGGGCCAACTGGCCGCCTGGTCGTCCACCGGCTTCGGAATGGGCCTCCTTCCAGACCCATCGAGGCCAGATGATTGTCGCGGCCTTGGACACGCCTGGCCCGGCCAAGGCAACACCAACACCAACCCTAGCAACGCCGGTTCCATGAATACACTTCGGCCTATCCGGTACCGCAACTATGCCCCGGCAACAAATGAGTCTGTCGGTCTGGCCTCATGGCCCTCGAGTCCCGTCGGTTCGCCTGCCCCCCATACAGCCGTCTCCTGTCTTCTCGCCACCAGCGAGGCCCACTCAGCCGGCCAGACTCGAGACCTATCAATGTGCAGTCTGTACCGAGGCGAGCTGTCGAGCTCCCTCCTGGTCGGAAGCTCCGATCAACCGGTACCTCACGAGGCTGAACTTCTGCCCGTCCCCCCTTTTGGTACTATGCTCTCTTCCTCCTCCTCTTCCTCTTCATCGTCGTCGTCGTCTTCATCTTCTTCTTCGTCGTCGTCGTCGTCGTCGTTGTCGTCCTCCTCTTCCTCCTCCATCTCGGCCTCCTCCCTGGCCGGACTGCCTAGCTACGAAGAGACGCGTCCGCTCCCCCTGCCTCCATCAGGCCACAGCCTGCGCTCCATCGTGGAGCTGGCCGAAGACGTTCCGGCAAGTCTCTGCTCGATGCCTGGATCCTCTTCCGCCTCAGCCTCGAAGGCGGCTTGTTGCGGGTTCACCTTCGCCCCACAGACACTGCCCTGCCGACCACCACCTTCGCCGATCGCCATGCCCTGCCCGCCCGCCCCGGACGTCACGGCCCGGTCGGAGGAGATGATGTCTCGTCTGCCCATCGTCGGGCCTCCGTCGTCCGCGAGCTACCATTTTGCAGGACACTCCTTCGCATCGGAGCCGCCTCTACCGCCGCTTTCGGGGGGGCAGCTGACTTCTGACCAACTGCCCGCGCCCAACTTCCCGCCACCCTGCAGCCTGGCCCGGGGCTTCGTCTGCCCGGCCGACTCCGGCTCGTCCAGCCATCCACACGTCGTGGCTCAACCACATTACGCCCCACCGCTGCACCACTCCGGCCCACCCGAACAGCCCCCTCCACGAGCCCAAGCACCGCTTCTGCACCAGCATCACTTGCCGCCTCAGCCTCAGCCTCAGCCTCAGCCTCATCACCAGGCCTCATTCTATCTTGCCCCGCGGGTCTCGGGTCCGGCGACTCAGGCTCTGGCCGGCTCGGGCCACCCTGGAGCCCCCGACAGCTCTGGGGGCCCTCTCTTCCCGCAACACTCTGCTTCATTAGCCCAGCTCGGTCTGCAGGCCCACATGCTGGCGTCACATTCGCATGGACATATGCACGCTCATCCGCATGTCCACACACTTGGCACACCGTGTCACGTTGCGGGGACGCACTCGGGTCATCCGCTCCACCGAGGACCTCCCTATTTGGGACATCTCACCGGCCATCCATATCCGGGATCCGGGTTAGTACATTCTCAGACATGGCATTGACGATTGGTCTCTGTGTCCATTTCAGCTTGGCCCTACTCGTATTTCGACTCACCTTGGATGACTGAAAAACCTCGTGTGTTGGCTTGACCTCGTTTTCATGACTTGATTCCAAGTCAACGGTCCGATGATGGGATTTATCAAGACTACTAAGACAGATGATACAGGACTGGCTATATCCTCCAATATTCACATCAAATGTCTTTCTAACCTATCATTACATTTCGATTCACAATGGTTTCAAAACCTACGCAGTCAATTTTTATGATGGTATGGTAACATGTCGAGAGTATACACTACACTCGACGGATTAGAGTATCGACTTAGGCGTGGACGAAACTGCCGCCCAGTCCAGTGTATATAAGCCTACCTCTTGGGGACCAAGACTATGTGAAATTCAATGAAAATGTGAGGTCTTCCCATTTGATTGTGGGAAAATTAGGCATCAATCTTCCTTCATCAACTGGGGTGACGTCTGATCTGCACAATTTTGTTTGTTTCCCGACCGAATCGCGAAAACGAGGCAGAATCAACAATATACAGATAAGGGGATTGCGAACAAACATATGGTCATATCATTTGCAAATTTCTTAGTGTTTAATCGAAGATATGAAGACCAGGATGGTGTGGCCTTTTGTATGGTGGTGGTCTTCTTTCGTTGTGTAAAAGTTGTTTTGCAGCTTGGTCATATTGGCAAGAAGACCTAGAGGAACGCACCTTGTCC